GCTGAAATGGTGCAGTGAGAATAAACTAACTGTACGCCGCACCCCATACCCCGCACCTCAACACCGCAGAGTACTAGCTGATTTTTTGCTGTCGGTACTGGTTTTTTGCCAAGTTTATCGCGGCTTTTACGTAACTGTAGCTGTTATTTTTTCTGTGGAAATTTTCAAAGTGAGATTTTTATTGACTCTTCGTGGTGTTAATGGCATATAAAATTTGGAAGCTGTCAGCGCATTTGCAAGCTTTAATGCGGCTACCATATTCAGAGCTCGCCAATGAGAATAACAATGAAAAAAACAATAATAATAGCAGTTTGAAATAATAACGGCATATTTGAATAGCACTTAACACGGCATAGACTGTGTGGCTTATTGTTCGCATTTTACAAGGGAGATAAATGAAAAAAAATAAAAAGAGGAAAAGCAGAAAAATTTGGGAGTGCCTACAGTCCACTTTGTAGATTTTAAATTTTATCGTATTTCTTTTCACTGGAATTACGAGTACATCTAAATTTAAGCAGAGCTCTTACAGCTTCAACCACTTTCTCGACGGACTTTATGAGACTAAAAATGTTGATGTTAGCCTCCTTTCCTTTCAACAACCACCAATAATAATGAAGTTCACGTGCGTACTCTAGCCCATCCTCTAATGCCACCGCCAAACGCTGTCCAATAGCACTTTATACTTTACGTCACTTTAGTATTTATATGTATTCGTGAGTGGGTCTCTAACACATTGGTAGATTACAGCAATACTAACGATTGCTCTTAGGTCTGCAGTATGCTGGCATTTATAGCTTAGACTTTTCCATACTGCACAACATGTGCACTTTCCGTTCTCCGGCGGTCGATTCTAATTGGAACTAATAAATGTACTTTTATTATTTATTGCTACTGTACAGAAATTCTAATGACTTATTGCAACGGAGTGTTGGTAATTTTAAAAATTACAAAATAAGTCTCGGTTGGATTATTTTCTGCTCTTTTATGAACTATTGGCTGGAGAGACGTTTTGGAATCAGACATCCCAGGTATTGCAAAGAGAAAGAGAATGGTTGCAGAATGTTTGTTCCAATCTATCTTTTGTTTTAGTATTTATATTTGTTTGTGTCTTCACACCGTTACAATTATTCCACTTCCGATTTTCAAAGAGATTTATTGAATTCGGCTACTTCAATTTGCCAAGTAGCTCCGAAATACAAAATGATCAGTTTCCGAAAAGAGCTGAAAACTTATGATTTTGGAATATTTAATAAGTACAATTGAATTTGTTATTAACCTAGTCCTTGGACGCCTTAAGCGTTCAACTTCAAAAAAAAATTTGGTAGCTGATTATAAAAGAACGAGATCGCTTCACTCCTTCAACACCCAAGGTCAGCACAGACACTTTACTGAACCTCTCATTACTCAGAAAAAATGGAATAATTAAATTACTAATGCTACACGCTCTGTCAAACATCACTTTCGCTAACGACCAACAGACTTATTAAGTACTACTGTTGCCACACGCTTTTGCACGCGCACAATTAATTGCGTTTTATATCTCGAGCCACTGACATCTCTAACTTAGTTACCTTTATTGTTGTATCATTACAGTTGCTACTTCTATTGCAATTGCTTTGGCGATTATTGTAGCAACACTTCTACTGCTAATGGCAAATAACATCGCCAAGTCGGGTAATGCTGATGATGTGGTTGCCACTTGAGCTGTGCCATAAAGCGTCTCTGCCATCCCGGACACTCTCACTAAGTTGCTGATGACTTTATAAATAAGTGCAGTCAAGTGGCAGCACCAACAGCCGCATCAACGGCTGCACTCACTTTTCAAATAATAACAAATTCTGACAAATTGGCAAATTAACTGCTCGGACGAGAGCAGCGAAAATAAATGTGCAATTCAGTGCTGGCTGGCCGCGGAAGCCTGGTTTGCGCGACTAAAGACATATGTCTGCCTGTCTGTGTTGATGGTAGCAATAATAATAATAATAATTGTGGTAGTGGCGCGGAGCACAAGCACACACAACACGCTCACACACACTCGAAGACAAATCTCTAACATTGTTTTAATGCGCCGTTCAATATGTTGCTCTTAAAATGGTTTGTGGTTGCTGCCTCTGCTGCGCATCACATGCAACAAAGTCAGCAACAATCAGCCATGCGGGTAAATAAAGGAAAGTGCTATCGCCGCAATTGTATGTTATTGCTAATACTGCCGCTGCTGCTTCAAATAGAATCACTTACAACAAACCTAGCAATCCGACGGTAGCTCCGTTGCAGACTAGTTACCAGCATTTAGTAGCTGCTTAAGGAGTCGTCGACAAGTGGTGGCGAATGGCAGCGCATAATTGCTTGTTAGTTGCTGCGGTGTAGTGGTTGTTGTGGCAGACTAATGTCGTTCTTGGCGGAGGCTCGATGTGCTTGATTGTTGCTATTATTGCTGTAGCACTTGTTAGCTAAGCTTGCTACTGTTTCGCACTGGCCCGGCGGCAATGTCGCTACTCGTTTTCTTATTGCTTATACTTTTTCTTCTTCTTCTTGAATGTACATATTTAGTCAAGTATATGAGACGTCTTTAGTACACTCAATTATAGCCGACTCATCGCCGGCCTTTAGATAGTCGACAAAATCACTACTCACAGCTTAACTTATTTATCCGATACATACATACATATGTACAGGCACACTTATCAGGCTCAATAAAGTTCAGCACTTACATGGACCAACGGTTTCCCCAGCAGTATTCCAAATCGCCACATCCAGTCAACTCTGTTGTCGATCGTTTTTCTGTAAGATGCCGAGAATAGCGGATCCAGATGTCTTATCGCCATCGCAATTATACATATAGACAGATCACTGTACTAAAGCTTGCTTCTAGAATATGGTTCTGCATGTATTAATTAGAAATTGCCAAGATTTCGAATTTAACCTGCAAAACGAAAAACAATACCAGAAAATACTCATAAAATAGTTCTCGAAAATGCGCTTAATCAGAATAAGGGATAAAAATGTGTTGCAAGCAATGGAAATATGACCATAAAAACACTAGAAAGACAGATAAAACTGGTGGAAAAAGTATACAAAAATCGATTTCCTCCATCATTTCATTCGATATTTCCTTACTGGGGAAACGATTGCATGACATCTGCCTATGATATTCAATAGCTGGAAATTGTTGTAAGGACACGGTTTGATTACCGCTGAAGTACTTCTAAGACGAAAGAAACCCTCCAAAAAAGAAGCAAAGTGAAGTGTTATGTGCAAATTATATGACAATAAAGAAGGAATAAAACCAAAGCATACTAAAGTTACTCGGCACTTAACGCATATTTAAGACGTACACCCGCACAGACATTTAAGGTTGTAGTGAGAAGCTCAGACACTCTAAAAAGAATCAAGCAATCTTTTCATTGTCAAACAGGCGAAAATATATACATGCCATGTCAGCACTTACTTAAAAATAAACAATTGCATTCCATATTTCTTTGTTTCTTCACATTTCATTTCAGCATTTTATTTAGACCACGCTTAAATCGTATTTTTTCACAAGAACTCTGATAACGATCCCAAAGTAAAGAAAAATGGTAAACGCCCCAAAGCAATCACGGATTGCTGACAAATTGATTCTTAATAAAACATGAACTCACTTTAACACACGCACACACGCTGGATTACTTCAAGTAAAAAGAAGAGACCAACTCAAATCACACAACCAAAAAGTAATTTAAAAGGTTAAATGAAATGTTGCAATCAACGACCTTCAATTTAAGCCAAACGCAAAATTTGGCGCTCGATGTTTGTTTGAACTGGTTCTTTTGATTACTTTGGCTTTCTGCTTCTTTGTTTATTTTCGTTTGCCTTAATGCAACTTCAAAATGTGCTTATAATCGCTTCAAAGGAAATTGAAGAGGGTTAATACCGTGGCAGGTTCTTTTTTTATTATTTTGCCTTGATTTATGATCGCAGCCGAGCATCGAGTGAATTATGATATCAGCAAACAGATAGCGTCATAAATTCTGCGTTTTTAGTAATTAGAAACGAAGAAGGTGCTGCAGGTCTTAGTTGAATGTATTTTTGTTGGTTGTTTGCGTGCTTTTACTTATTCGCTATATTTCAGCAGTACAGAATGCGATAACTTATTCACGCGATATATATATGTATGTATATTGCTTAAAGTCGCAAATTTTCGTCACAATTTTCGCTTCCGGTTTAATTTCTCTATTTGCGTAAACTGACAATAAATTTAAATGACAGCGGAAGTTGACAGAAGTTGACACATCGCAGAGTTGTATTTGTTGTGAAAACTGTGTTCTAAGTTAAAGGTGCCACCCTGTGGTGAATAAATGAAAATGGATTTCAGTTTCAAATGTCTTAATTATTTTTCAAATAATAATTTTTAATTAATTTACCTTTTATTTATATAATTAAACCATTTTAAAGCTGCTTTTTATAAATTTAGTACAAATGAGTGCTACGTTAGATGTCTTTCCGACTGAATATTTGTATATATAATGTTAAAAATTTAAGCTTAGTTTGCAGAGGAAGTGAGTTCCAGCCCTAACTTTATTTAGAGTCCTGGTATGAAAAAACGTCATAAATATTATAGCAAATTCGGTAGGGAATGCCACTTGATATAGCATTGGTATTTCCGACATAAAAATCAAAACTGCTCTTAAAAATCCAGGTATTTCTCGGAGTTTGCTTAGAATATGTCCCTCCCTCGATTTGGGAATAGAAAACTTTCTGCTACCATTATTGGCTACTTCGTGCAGCTCAACTTTACTCTCTAAGTGTACAAGAGCAATAATATTCCTTCTTATGGGCACATTAGCGGCCGACAATTTCAGGTTAATACACGTAAATCAAAGTGAAAATTATAAAAATAATAACACACTCAAAAGACTAACTTACTTCTTCGGTATCGCCTTGATTGGTATACATACCTACCTTGGAATTTGATACATCAATTTTCTAAGGGAATCTTCTTTCCACTTTTGTGTATTTTTTATTAATTCAAGAAACAAATTCATATAAATAATGCAGCTAAGCAAAAAAATGAAAATCATTACAGATTTCTGATGTAATAAATCTAAAACTAAATATGGCAAGATTTCTTAGCTTTTTTGGTAACGTAAATCTGTATGCAATATGCTGTTATGACTAGCTAAATATATAGCAAAGGAAATCAAAAGCGAAAAGCTGGCTGATATCGGTAGACTTCAGTAAAATTCATTGGCGTCTAGTAAAACTAAAAACTCAGCATAATACTAACATATTTTATAAGTAATCAGAAAACTAAAGAACTTAAAATTATTACTGCTATTAGCAAGCTTTTGGCAAAAATATCTTTGGATTGTTTTTGGTGTCTTTGATATAAAAAAAAGTCGAAAATCATAGTTGGTGCAGGTGGTTTAAACCTGTCCGGTTAAACTAAATAACGTAAAAAACTCCTATGCCCATGTGGTCAGTTAAAAATGCAAAGTACAATTCACATCCACTATTTCCTCGCGCATGTTATGGCACATTCCGAATATCATACGGCACCTCATCATCATTTATGCTTCATATACATGGTGACTATTTTATCCAGTATATCGTCTATGGACTGTTGCTCCTGCCGAAATGTTTCCATTGCCTTGGCAGGCACAATCCAATTGAGAAACTCCTCAACATTCCGACGCATGCGTTCGATTGCCGGCAGTGACTGATCTTCACATGCTTTGCGGTTCGCCAACTTTAGTGAGGCCACAACCACATTATCGATAAGACGCTTCTCGTAGCCCAATTGTTGCAGCTTCTGTTGGGAGGAGATTTTCTTCAATAGCAATGCCATAAGAAAACGTATGTGGGAGAGTGTTTGCAAGTCATTATTTTTGGCATTCTCCTTCTCGACGTCTACATTACAGTTGTCGCATTGTTGCATGTGCGATTGAAGCTCTGCTTTGACTTTGAAAAACTGATGACAGCCCTCACACATGTAGGGATTGTTTTGCTTATGTATCTTCTTCATATGTGTCTTGTAGTGTGCCAATTGCGAGAAGGCTACTACGTCTGTGCATACCAAGCACTGGAAAGGCTTTTCTCCAGTGTGTTTGCGTATGTGCAGCTTCAAAACGCTCGAGTAGGCGTAAGTTTGCCAGCAAATCTAAGAGTAAGAGAAAGAAATGTGTGAGGTGAATAAGAAAATAATGTAAGGTATATAATTTCATTTAGGTTTGTGTCTTAAGTCTTTTGTTTTTGTCTTGGTTGTAAACTCACCCTACACTGGTACGGACGCTCGCCGGTATGCATACGCATATGCACGTTATACTGTGATTTCTGCGTAAAATACGATTTGCACACCTCGCAGACATGCGCTTTCACATTCGTATGAGTCTTCATGTGTTTGGCTAGCTCATCATCTTCGATGGTCTCCTTGCAAATGTCGCAATCGAACTGACCCAACTTATAGTGCAGTTTATTGATGTGCGCTTTGAGCACTGGTTCGTTCGGGAAGTGCTCCTTGCAGATCTCACAATAGTGTTCGGGTCCATTCTCGTGACGATCCATGTGGGCGCGCAAATTCGAGGTCGATGAGAAGGAGGTAGAGCATTTCTCGCACACATATTGCTTGATGCTACTCTTGTGATGGCTCATAACGTGCTGCTTAAGCTGGAAGAGAAAAGAGAACACGGTTAGAAATGAAATTTGGGAATGAAGTATCGAAAAATGCATCAATGCCACTCACATGACCGCCACGTGCGAAGCGTTTATCGCAGTCCTTACAAGCGTAAGGCTTTTCGCCCGAATGCAAACGCATATGTAAACGCAAGCGCTCCTTGATAGCGAACATCTTCGGACACTGCGCACAGGCGAACTGTCGTTGATTTGTGTGGGCACAATTGATGTGATTTCTGAGATTTACTGCCTGCCGATAGCAGTTGCCGCAATGCTCGCACTTGTACGGCCGTTCATCCGAATGTATGAGCATGTGTCGTCGTAGATCGTTATTGCCACGAAATTGCTTGGAACAGATATGGCAAATATGCACTTTACGCATGAAAACTTTACCCGAACGCTTATTGGCGGCTGGCGTTAGAGACCCATCAGCAATTGCAGACTGCGAGTCGGCGGTTGAAATTATAGAATCATTTGGTACTGAATGCGTTATGTCCGACAAATCGGCGGCAGATTGAGTGACATCCGTTTCGGAGAATGCTGAATCGGCAGCTGAGATGGAATTCTCCGAAACAGTCGTTAGAACGATAACAGATTTATCCGATAAGTCAATCGATTGAACCGTTTCCTCTGTATCGGCAGCAACGGGAATTACAATGAATGCTGAATTTATAGTATCTATTGCCTCTGACTGGGATAGTGCCAGCTGCATATCACTGGCAAGTGCTTCTTTTGTCAAAGCGTCTGAATTGTCAATATCAACCGTTATACTATCGATTACATGCACTAAATTTTCGCCATCCTGCGCTAATTTATCTCCCAAATCCACTAACTGCTTTGGTGAAGGCGCTGAATCATTTTCGGAATCCGCTGAATTAGCTGAATCACTAAGTTTCTGCCTCTTCACAACTGCTGTGACCTCAACCGGCTCTACTGTGCTTGGACGTGCCTTTTTAGCTGTCTTTACGCTACTAACACGCTGACGCAGTTGTTTTCGCTTGCGGATTGGCCGTGTCTCCTCGCCATCACCGCTGTTGTGCACACTTGAAGAAGCGGGTGGTGAAGACAACGAAACTCCGCTGTCGGTATGCACAGATGAGGCATCCTCTTTGGAAATCGAACGACGACTACGCACCATTTTCAGATTTTGCAAAAAAATAGGTATTTTAATAAATTTTATCGATTTTACTTTTAATAACTTTTTTTTTGCTTTAAGCACCGCCACCATAAGCGCATAAGCAATGCTCTTCTGATTCTGCAGACACCAGTGTTATGAAAAATATCGTAATTATAGTAAATTGTTTAAGAACGTGTGGGTTAAAAGTTGAAAAATAATTTTCAAGCTAACAGTATTTGATTTCCGCTCCACATCCACTTTGATTTAAAGTTATATGAATTCTTCAATTTTATTTTTTTAATAATATTCACTTCAGTCTAAAATTTTGTATTTGCAAGCCAACACCAGAATTATTTAATTTTTTTTTTCTTTATTTCATGCAATTAAATATTTATAGTATGTATGTATGTATATTTGTTTAGTCGTAGCGACAATTGAGTCTCTGATTTATTTATCGTTCTGTGAAAAGTTTTTTAGAATAGTTTTTTTTTTGTTTTTATATTTTTTTTTATTTCGCACAACCCTATAAGAGGGTGTTTGTTTCGGTGGTTAAATATTTTTATTCATTTTTTAACTTTTGCTGTAAAAAGAGAACAAGAGAAAGAGATAGAGAGAGAGAAAGAAAGAAAGAAATATTGTAATTTGAGCTTTCAAAAACATATTTACATACAAACATATGCACATACATTGATATGAATGAACGCTGTGGCGCGAACGGCAGGCGACAGTTGACAGCAAGCGGCTAACTACCGCTTCAAATTGATATTGAAATCAGAACAAAAAACCTCAAGCTTATATTTTTACATTTATTTTTTATTAATTTCTTCTTTTTTTTAATTCTGTTTTTGTAGATCGCAGGCGCTGAATGTACTGTTCGTCGGTCGCCTGTGTTGCTGAATTAATTTGTGCACATTACAATTTGTAGTGGAGCGCAGCGTGAAAAGCCTCGGCGACAACAACAAAAAGGCAACGGAGTACAACAATGAAAATTAAAAATAAAAACGCGACAAACTCACCGCCTGACCATATGCCCGATAATGATGAGTGAATACTCAACAGAATGATGAACTGAACTCAACTGAACTGAACTGAAAGCAACTGAATGGCTGAATTATAAAAAACATATACCTACATATAGGTCTGTATATTTATTTGTATGTGAGCATATGTAGGGGTGTATATGCACTTCCCAGCGCTGTTAGGTGAGGCAGCAGAGTTGGCAGCGCCGACAGTTGGTTTGATGTGGATTGAAAAGCGAGAGTGCGCTCGGCAAGGGACGCGGTGGGAGGGTCGGTCCAAGCACATACAAACAGAGCGAGCAAAAAACACACACGTAAGATTAATAACGAAAAATTGAAACAAAAAGCAGCTGTGTCAACAGTTGAAAATTTCGTAGTTCTGCTGACGTTGAACTTTAAATAAAATTCTGTTATATGAACGTCCAATTCAACGAAAAACATGAAATTCTAACAAAAAAAAAAACAAAAACAAAAAAACGATATGTGGAAAAATTAAATAACTCATTGCAGTCAATTCTAATAAAGCACAAAAACACACACACATTAATCATTGACATACACATACGCAGAGATGTTAGCGATAAGCTAAATGATCGCGTGTGAGTATGAATGTGCGCACTTGAAGTTCGTTTTCAAAGTCTTTTGTTTGCAATGCGCACATAAGGCCGACTTGGAAACACGGGAAAATGTGTAAATCCATCGAAAAAGCAGGAAAAGAAAATTCTGAAATTAAATATTTACAATTGCGTAGATAATGAGAACAATTATGATAAATTGTCACTTGGCAGAATGTAATATCTATGTATGTTTTTACCTGCGATTCCAAAGAAATCAAAATCAATATTTGCTTTTCTTGCTGAGCGCACAACCTGAGCTATGAGCCACACAGCACTGATAAGCGAAAGGTTAAGCAAACGGCGACTGACTGATAAGCGAGTGATGAGCGCGTTAAAGTAGACATAGACAATTTTATAAAAACTACCATGAAAAGAGAAGCACAACAAAATGAGAGCACAAACAACACTGAGGCAAAGATATGGGAATAATAAATATACATATATATGTACATGCACGAGTATGTATGCATGTGTAAGTCACATGTGGTGAGGCAACCTTTTATTCAAGCACTCTACAAATTATGCGTCTATATATGTACATACATACACACAACATACATACAAGTACACGTATGTACGAATTCATGTCGACCGTGCAGTGCAAGCGATAAGATAAGGCGTACAACTCAAATATAGCTCAGCACATTGCTGTTCACACTGCTGTAATTGTGATTTTGCGCTTGAATTGAATAGAAAAATGTGATAAAGACTGTAAACTACCGGCCAAAATAACTCTACTGACTCAAGGGTTTTACATAAGAGATAAATACATTAATGGCGTATCTAGATATTGCTGAAGTTATAAAGCACAAAGCATGTAAAAGTAATATATTTGGTAAAATTCAACATCTTAGTTGGAAGAACTGTGAAATATCTTAGCCAGAGAAAGAGCACTCAAGTACAAGCGTTTTGCTATTCACAAACAAAATTTTCAATTCTCTTCATTCAAGAAAATCTTGTTATCTTTAAATAATATCTAAGTCATAAAATTTAATATGGAAATATTTTATATTCCATTTTATTTTATCACATTTCATATTATTTAAATTAAATTAACATCTCATTTTATTTTACTATTTTTTTTTCTTTTTATTTTACTACACTTTTCTCTATTTGAAGCATTTCTTCTTTATTTGATTGTATTTTTTTATTATTTTTCTATTTTAATTCATATTTTTTTATTATTTTTCTAATTTAAAAAATTTTTTTTTTAATTATTTTATTTCTTTTATTATGTTCCAAATTATTATTTTTTTGTATTTTTATTTTATATTTCTTAATTTTTTATTTTTATAAATTTTTATTTTTCTTTACTTTATTTATTTTTCTTCGTTTTACTTTTATATTTTTCATTGTTTGATTTTTTTATATTTACTATATTCCTTTCTATATTTATTACACTTTTAATATTTTTTTATACATTTTTATATATTTTTTATTTTTTATATTTTTTAAATATTTTTATATATTCGTATTTTAAATATATTTTTACATATTTTTATATTTTAATATTTTTTTAGTTTTCCCAATTTTTCACGTTGCTGTTTATTTCTCAATTTCTTTTAGCTAATTTTAAAATATAGTGTACGTAATCTTTCCACGCGTACAAGTTTCGTTCGGAAGCTTTCGGAAGTTTCTTACTTTAGTCTTTTGTTTACACACAAATATATTAGTATATAACTAATTTGAATGATCTAATAGTATAATAGTATATCTTTATTAGTGCATGATAAATCCGATCCGACCTTCGTCGCTTCTGAGTAGACTGACGGGCACCAACGTCGAGTTGTTGCAAATCTTCTTCCCAAATACTATTCGCAATTTCGTTGAATTTCATTTCCTGTCGCCGTCCCCTGCACTTGTCAGCTGTAATGTCTAATTGCAATTTAATTTTTAATTACCTCTCTCTGCGATTACACGAACAATTAGTCAGAACCAAAAACAGTCAAGTGAAATCGAAACCGGAACGAAAAAATAAATATTATTATTTGCACACGTATGTTTTTTTTTGTTTTTGCTTTCTTTCTTTATCTGGCGATTTGAGACGAGGAACGAGGAATCGCCGAATGCACACAAGCTTCCGAAAAAATGCGCCAATCGTGCTGCAATCAGTCATGCCGTTTGTCAACTGATGTCAAAATTAGGCACAGAACATGGCGAACGACTCGAGCGAGTGCTGTTTATATGTGTGTGTGTGTGTTAGTTGCAATGAACGTCAAATGTCCGAGGAGTTTTGCCGTGTGGCAGCAGCGCTGGCAACTTTCAATCCAACGAAATAAAAAAAATAATCACAGCAACAAAAAAGTAGAAAACGTCATCCCATTCGAAATTAGAATAAATTGTTAAGCGAACAAAAATAAATTGTGGGTGACAGAGTGCAAAATTTACATTTCAACATGCGCCAATAAACACACGAGCGCGAATAAATGTAAATAAGAGCAGAATGGAAAACAAAAAATATCAAATTAATTTCAAAATAGAAATACCGAACTGAGTCGACAAGTCGCGAGACCCGACTGAAGTGGAATGAATGAGGGAAAACAGATTTTTTCAAGAATACCAACGAACACTACGCCAATAATTCAGCCGAGCTAGAGCTGTTCGAGGAAAATTTAAAGAGCAACAAGAAAAACAGCGGATATAATAAAATTGTATGGAATGGGCGACGGAAAAAGGAGAGCACTAATACATCAATACGAGCGAACAACTATAGGTGACCAACAACAGCAACACCCATAACAGACAGCAGCAGCAGAGTTAACCAGCTCATCGCTACAAACGTTTTGTTTCAGTTGGTGACAGCTGGGAAATGGAAAAAAATACACAAAGTCAACAATATTACAGTAATGCATGTATGTATGAAAGTACCGCTAATGTATGCGCATATGAATATATGACAGTGCTGGAGTTGTGCTCTGCTAGGAAGCCGTTGGCTTTGAACATTGCGGGGTGCTACAAAACAGTTTTGCTGATAAAACCAATTTCAATACGAAGAAAAAGTGACAAACATTTCTGTACAAATATATGTACATAGTTACTTGTAATGAGAAATTAAGGAAAATAATATGGACAGAAGAGACTTACAAGCCCTTCGAAAAAACACAATTGTTTGGTCTATATGTTTGCATGAGTAAGAGCAATAAAGCACGTATGTATGTATGTATGGACATGTGGCCAGCAGATGTTATATCGAGGCTTGCTCGGCCAATGTCAGTGCCGCTAAACAACAGACGCTGAAGGTAGAGTTCCATATCAGAATCAGGGTATAAAATGGACAAATAAAGAAAGCATGAAGGAATTAAGTACATCGCCAAGTCTAAAAGAATATTCTAAATGTACGTATGTACATATATATTTAAAACATTCAGTGTTATAAAATAGCTACATTGATTTACATATCTACGCCCAAAAACTCTATTTTGAGGCTCTCAGTATGACCAGCCATGGAAAGTTGCTCCAAAACCTGTTGAATTAGCTTCCTAACTATCTCCTGTTAATGCAGTAACGCGCACTTTTCAAACATTTCAACATTCAAGCGCCGAAAAAAATAAAAGAAATAACAAATAAAGCAAAAAAATTTATTTCAAACAACACACTGTGCTCAACTCGCTAATTCCCTTACAGTCACAGACGAGGGTGTTGAAATGCAATCGTAATTATGACATGCAGCAACGACCACTCCTCAACAAAATGTACCAACAACACAATTATGGGATGTGTTGCAGCAACGCTTCATCGGCTTAGCCTGCAACCCATAAATGCGATAATGAAAATCTGAAAACACAAAAGAACTCCGACGACCAGCCAACTAAATGACTAATAAACATAAACATAGTTATATACATACATACATATATTCATTTGCTAATATGAATAAGTAAATTGACCTCTCTGCAAAGCAACAAAACATCTAACTTAACAATAAAGCGTCAAAAGGTTCTGAAGTGAGGTGAGCTTAACGCGACAAAATGAGTTCCATTATGAAATTTGAAGAAAAAATCAATTATATGTACAAGTTTTCATCTTCCCAAATATAGTTATATATCGTTGCACATTTGTATGTTTGTTTGTAAGTATGTATATCGAACGAAAGTACGCTTCATTGGCTCCTCACCCATTCAAATTGCCATTTCGTTGCGGTAATTTACAGGAAACAAGAGAATGTGAACATAAAAACTTCACCTTCGCTACCCGCCAAAAGTCAAAACAGCTGCCATTCGACGAGAATTGTTTACGTCTACGCGTTCATCAACACAGACACAAACGCACACATTTCAACCGAAAGAAAAACAGAAATTCATGGGTGCTCGTACTCGACATCGAAGCAAAAATCCGCACGACGCGGTCTGCTCACTTGCATTGGCTGCTATAAATGCTCGCCGCTGTTGGAAAATGCGCTGAAGGGGTAAAATGCAAACAGTGAAATATGAAGCATTCGTTGTTTTATTTTTTGTTCTTTAGAGTTTTGTGTTTGTGCAGTGACTTATGCCACTGAACTTTGGGCTGTATTCAGCGCTACTGTTTCAAATAGTTTCTTTAGCACATTCAATTACTGAACGGACATCTATTTTTCTGTATTTACGGGAATGTACCCACACTTTAGCGGGTCCGCCACTGGTCACGTAGACGGTTACGGAAAGTATTAAGAACTCTCTATAATTTTCAGTTGTGTTTCGGGTTATTTTCAATCTTCAGTTAATTTTCCAAATTTCAGTAGAGTATCCGCCTGATTGCCGCTGCTGCTGCACATTTTTTTAGAATTTCAATATGGCATAAAGCCGTCTATAGAGTGCATGGCTGTACTGTATGGGTGTCAAACACTTCAACGTATTTTAATATGCGAACGTGCTTTTCTCAAGTACTTAACAAAGCGAATGCAAAAACAAAAACAAGAAAATATGTATTTAAATGTAATAAAGCGTTCTGCAAATCTAGCTTGATTTGTCGCTGTTGCTTTAGCAGCAAGCACAATTTGTACTCGTTGGACAGTTGCTTTTGTGCTTAGAAGCCGCATTTATAATTTTAAGTAAAATTTCCAATTAGAAATGAATAACAATATAGCAAAATATTAAAAAAAATGAATTCAAATATCGTTAGTATAACTTAAATGCAGATCCAAATTAGTTCAACAGCTGATCCTGAGAGTCCTGAGACCAAAATGAATTTTGCGTTTGACTTACGAGTAAAATCAAGAGTCTTTTTTTTTTAACCAGAAGAAAGACGAAAAAGCTTTATAGGGCGCTAAAAATTATATAAAAAAATGCTTACATAAATATTTATTTGAAAAAATAGCGAAAATGATAAAATTGAGTTCGTGACACTACGTTGATTGAAGTCTTTAGTTATTTCCGTGAAGGGATCTTTACCGACATTGCATAAATAAATTTACATATATATATATATATATATATATATGTACATATATACATACAAATATGCGCTTTTATAACCATTTCAGCGCTTTTTGGCAAAAAAAAAGGAAGAATTTAAAAAATGGAATCATTTTCATCTGATTATTTACCTAACTTACAAATGCTATTTTTTATTTTCCCACACCCTTTTTCCTCAAGGCATTCAATGATTTTCTCCTAAATAGGTACTGAATAAGAGATTTTTCATGTTTTATTGATCTAAATATCATTTCATACCACAGTATATTGTTTGTATTTAGTACAATATATATAAAGAGGAGTGTAGTATATAGAAATTAATTATGACTTTAGGATTTAAAACAGAAACGCTCGGATTACAAATCATTTTTTTCAATGATTACATACATAATGATGAATCTTGATTTCTGCTAAGGAAGAGTTTGTTGTCTCGTTGAAGTCTTTCGATTGTACTAAACAGTTTAAATTTATTTTGTGAATATTAATCAAAAATGTTATATATTTACATACTGTTTTACCGTTACAAATGCCTAACAAATCAATTCCACTACTTGAAATCAGTATTCTCATCGATTTTACAAACTTAGCGATTATAGCGTACTCTACCATTCTTGTGTATGTAGGTACATACGTACATACGTACAGTGTACTGTATGTAGTTCAAGGAATAACTACTCCAAATCTTTACCCAATCACCATATATTGAACTCAATACAAATTATTAATAAAATCCCTTGTTAGTCAGAACCATAACCAATAAACAGCAAATCAATGTCACTTACCACCAGACACTAAAAAATGGGCTGCCTCACACCCCATAGACCGCAGCCTCCAAAGGCATATAGCAACGCCATATATCCTTTCAGCCTAAAAGTTACAAACTCTCTAGCCGTTCTTATGAAAAAGGGTTCGAGTTTGCTTCTTAACATTTTTGTAAAATAGAAATAACAAAACAAATAGTATTATTTACCATTTCTGGTGTATCTACCTAAACTGTTCACGCCGTCAGCCATTTTTGTGAGCTATGACGCGACCGATGACCACTAATTCAGACATCACGTTTATTTTAATTACTACTTAAGTATATGTTATGTTTGTACACTTTAAACAATGCTTTTAGTCAAATTTAATGATACCACCGACTCTTGTTACAATTTTACTTCAATTAAAGCCAATTAATAGTATTTCTGACAGTTCACCCTTTCATTTGACATTACTATCGCTTCGGTCGCAAACTCTCCATAGTTGTGACAGTGTGTGTATGACGATGTGCAAGGCGAATTTGTGTGAATTTGCCTTGGATATTGTATGGCCAAATTACTGCTCTTTTTGCCTTTAATGGCGTTTGCTTGCTCGTTAATAGAAATGCCAGCTTCACTAAAGTAAAATTGTGTACTGCAATTCGGAAGGCTCGGGTTGAAGTCCCCGTGCGACCAAAATCCAAATGTTATATAAAATGAATTTAAATAAAAAATTAAGTTAAATTTTCTATTTGCGGTCGCCCCTCGGCAGGGAATGTCAACACCTCCGAGTGTGTTTCTGACATGAAATAAAGCTCCTCATAAGAAAACCATCAGCCGTTCGGTGGCGGCTTAGAATAAACTGTAGGTCCCTCCATGTGTTGGAAAAACATCAAGACGCAAGAACCACAAATTGGAGGAGGAGCTCGGCCGTAAACAGCGGTTACAAAGCGCTAATTATATATATCCCAGTTTGACTCGCATTAGCTTTCTTTTCACTTTTCACAAGCAATCAATGAAATATTTTTTTATGAAATTACTACGCGAAATTCATAAATTTAAGACAGTGAGAGACCTACGAAAAAAAGCCCCATTCATTGCGAAAAATAATGCTTTTTTATACAATTTAATGAGCAGTAAAACATTTGTTTAGCTGTCTATCTTGAAGTCTCATCAACAAAATCTCTTTGCGATCACTTCGTCTCAAATTAGTTGCAATAGGATGATCCATTTTTCGTGTAAAATGATATGACCATTACACGCAATGGGCTTATAAAATCCAAACTCAACAGATAGCGAAGAATTTCGCTAAAGTTGGCATCTCTAGTAGTGCTGGAGATATTTCAAGGAACGGAGTGTAGACTTTCAAGTATTCAAGGAAAAGGAGGAGAGAAATGTCGAACTTTGTGTACTTGGTGCTGCCACAGGGCGCTGAACACAAAAGATTTCAACACAGAAGCAAACTTGAAGGAAACTCTTAATTAATCGTCGATGTTGGGTTAGATAATGAAACATTTATATTGAAGTACTTGACTAAGTTCTTATTATAAAAGGCATCTTTATTGCGAATTATATCTTATTTAAAATTTTTAAAACTTGGAACTGTTGAATATTTCACATGATAAAAATTCATTTGTGGCATATATAAATCCATTTAATAATAATTTCTTAATACGAAAATATATATATATATATATAACAATGATACATGTATAATCGTTACACTTTTTCAATGAGTAATCTTTTTTAAAGATACCCTAATGTTTAATATAATTTGAAAGAATTGTGCATTAATTCAAATTACTTATTCTATAGTTACATTTTCATTCAGTTACCGAAAAAAGCTTCGGCAGTTATAAAGCCTAAACATTATCTACATATATACAAATATATAACCCAAGCAACGCTTATTTCAAATTATGTTATATCCCCTCATATCATGCATAGAATCCATATAAGGATTATTTGTTTCATTCTATTTTATTTAATTTTTTGGTGATTAAATTTCGCCATGTGAGCCAGCAGTCGCGCACTTGAGGTATATTTCTTCTCGCACACTTCGCATGTTAATCTTTCAATTGTATGCATTTCGATCATATGGTCGCTGCGTTGTCTGAAGTTTGCAAAAGTCTCATCACAATAATAACAATGCTTTATTTGTTCGAATTTTTCGTTGAAATGTTCCACACGAATATGGTTAATTATTGGCCCAAAAGTAAAGGATTTAAATTTTTTACAAAATTTACAATTAAAAGGTTCGTTTTCTTCATGTCGCAGTGAGTGCCATTTAACATAGTTGGAACGAAAGGTAGCCAAACATGACTTGCATTCAACTAAATTAATCCTTAATGTAGTAACCTTCTCTTCTAATTTATTATACCAATCGTGTGCACTTTCTAAGTGACTCATCCAGCTTTTCATATTAGCAGTTTTTTTCTTGCAGACCGGACAGGCGAATATTATATGTTTTCGAAATGATTCTGATCGTCGCAACTTTTCCAAGGCTATCTTTCTATGTTTGCTTTTAAAGTGCTTCAAAAATTGCATACGAGAGGAAAATCTCTCCTCACACAAGCGACACCGCAAGAATTGTGGAATAGTCATGTGCTGAATCCTATGATTTAGTAAAATACGATGTGAACAATCTGAATTAAACTTTTTCTCACAGGACTTGCATTGATAAAATAATTGCCCTTGACGGCTTATCACTGTTTTTAGATTGAGTTTGTCTATAGAACGAAAATTATGCACGATGTCTGTATGCGCATTCCACTTTTTTTTATTACAACATGAGACGCCACATTGAGGGCATAAGTAATTGAGAAAAGCTTCTAAATTATGGCAATTTCTTGGCAGATGTTTGGATGTTGAAGGTTCGTTATCGTCATCTGAATCATAATCCAAAAGATTCACACACTTTGTCTCTTTTACCTCCTCTTCGGAGGATTCCCCTTTATTTTCATTAATGTTGTCAGCGTCGATACCATTATTACAAGTTGAATCATCATCATCATCCAATTCAATAATTGCACTTAAGCCAAATTGAGAGGTTACCGATTCTTGATTGTTTTCTTTTGTAATATTAATGGAGGTGGTGTCATTAGTAGCTTGGTCAGGACATTTAACAACAGCCTCATTTAGGTATACTTCGTTCTCTTCAGGGTGATCTTTTGTTATTACGGTGTCTATTGCAGCTAATTCTATATTTGAACACATTTGACCAAATATTTCACAATCTGAAGTGTCCTCTTCAACGCCATTTTCGGAATCACTTAGCAGTTCGATTACTTCTTCTGGCTCATAAGATATTGGTTCGAATTTCGGCGTTTCATAAACTTCATCTGCAACAGCCATAAGAGCTCTTCCAACAGCAAATATTTGCTCTTCATCGAAGCTAACCATTTGCAAATCTGAAGATTCCATTATAGCGTCTCCGGTTTCAACGTCCCTACTTGTATCAACCTACTTGCTTGGTAGGCTTCTAAGCGCGTCTTAAATATAAAACTGTATCAATTAAAGAACAATTTAACTATTACTAAGATTTTTACCTCTAATAGTCTATATTAGTTTTATTTATATGTACAAATCCAAACACATTTTAAACAAAACTAATGCGATTCGTTTATTTAATGCTGTTCAATAGCTGTTGCTGTCAAACTAATCAGTGACAGCTTTCAGAAGGCCATTCAAAATAGACTTCATATAAAAAAAAAAAAAATACTTGTTGATGTTGATTTCTTTATTATCGCGGCTCATTGTTGTTGACATGCATGAATTAAAACAAAATATTTAAAATGTATAGTTTTTTTTATTAGATATATAAAACCTACTTTATAAATAAGCCAAAATGTACAGAAATTTGCACACAACACGCTGACAGCAGTCAGAATGCCAGCTTTTTCATTAACAAATACATTTGTTGGTCTACTTCAAAACCATGTAAATTATTGGCATCACCCTGTAGACGCATAAGCAGTCCTCCAAATGAAACGTACGCTGATAGCCGGGAAGATGCTTCATTATGGGCCTCATCACCTTCAATACGGTACACCTTGCCAAACATAACATATTCGAAACTATCGGCACGTGTGCCTTCCTGTTCCAAAGGGTTGAATTCACCACTATCCGGACAGCCGTCCTCACGCAGTGTTGTCGCCAGTACCAAACGAAACTTGTCTCCCAATTCCATTGGGTACAACCACGAGTTTATATCCAGTATCAAGTCCATTTTAAACGATTCAGATTCACAATGCAGTCGGGAAACACGGTCAAATTTCTTTCCCTCCGGATCCATGTCTTTTACATTGAAAATATCTTCGAACAAAACGCCTGCCATTGCTTTGTGTGGTTCTTTTCTAAATGCCTATGAGCCGATAAACTACTTATTGTAATAGGAATATGAATTTAACGAATATTAATAATTATTTTTAATATATTCTTGCGCGCGCTTACACAAAATTTCATTTGTTTTGATTAAACACGCGACCAACTAAACACTTGCCTTTTTATTATCACCCGGCGGATTGGATTGTCGAATTTGACAACTATGACGATTCAAGCGTTGCCACTGAATACAAAAATATTATTCAGGGCTGTATTCCAAAAGCAAATATAAGGCTATTCCCAATTACTAAAACTCTATTACAAAATTAAAAAGGTTTCACATCTGAGTTAAACTCTGTTCAGGTTCATAAAATAATACAGTTCTCAAATTATTAGATCATCAACTAGTTATTGGTATGCTATTGGACATACATATTTTTTACAATCTAATAGTACTTAAACTGTACTTTTTAAAAGTTCTTAAGCTGATTTTAAGCGTCTAAGCCTTTTTTTATCGTGTTCATTGACGTATTATCCGAAAAGATCTACAAAATCCTCTAATGATGTGAATCTAGGTGATCGCAGTTAGAAAATTTAACTTAATTTTTTGTATAAATTCATTTTCTGTAACTCTTTGGATGTAAGTACAACACCAGGACTTGAATCCGAGCCTTCCGAATGGCAGTACGAAATGCTAACAAATCGGCTACCGCGACCGTCGATTCCAATATATTATATATACGTTACTATATAGACTAGAGCAAAAAAAAAATATTTTGGAAATCTAGCACACAAAGAATGAGCTCACGCAAGGAAGCTCTTGTTTATCTCTTGATGTTACCCTTCACGTTCACAAGAAGAAACTTTGGCCGAACAAATTTTGTGCCATTATGTTCGTATTTTACTGTGCGGGTAGGAATTTAACAGAACACAATACACGGTTCCCTAGCACGAAACATTCGGCGTACCGTCCTTTTCGCCGCCACCCTCTGCCCAAGGAGCTGAAGTCAACGAAAATTGATGTGTGTAAACTCAAACAACAAGATACGAGCTGGGCAACTTTTAGCCTAGCGTTGGTGATACGAAAGGCAATCGTAAGAATTCAAAAATATCCACCTTAATTTGAAATGTTGACAAGGACTTTTCTCCAAATAACAAAGGTCCAAAATATCGGTTGGAATTTCCAAATGGTCATAAAAATATCAAAGGCAGAAGCACTCTGGGATCACTACCTATAGAAATATAATATAATAACTTCCAACTAACAGAAAATCAGGCAAAATGAAATTAGGAGTATATATATAAATATATATATATATATACATATACATATGTATATCTAACAATAATATCACTAACTAACTTCCTGGCTTTATTACCTATAAAATATTTAGCAGATCGCCATTAAAATATAAATATTCAATATATGAACTAAACAAATTTTAATGTGCTCCCATAATTCTTCGATTTCCCGTTCGCGAATTAGCTGAAAATTTCCAATGATTTCCCTTTCAGTTGGTTTAGCCATCTAATCAATAAAGTGGCCTTTGATGTGCGATTTATGTAGATTGCGAGATTGATTATTTTACATCACTATAATGTACATACATATTTATTGTACATGCATACTTTCTATTCAAAAAATTTTAAAGGCAAAATTGAAAATTGCTGTGATTCCATAAATTCACATTCACATCCCCATACAAACAATTAAATTCTTGGAAAACAAACTTCACATACATATGTAAATACATATATGTACATACATGTTTTTTTTTAATTTGATTTTTTGGGTAATTTTCTAAACATTTGTATACATTGCTCCGTTTTAATGATCGCGCATGAATTTTCTCACCTTGTAAATTTTTCACTTGCACATCAATACCATTAAATGCCCAAGAAAGTTATTGAAAGAATAACAAAGCGCAGCATCTTTCCTGGTTGGAAAGTAAGAAGAGCAAATGTTTTTGCTACGATTGTTTATACAAAACGGCTGGAGAAGCGTACAGCACAGGTAAAGTGTTCTTCTTATGATTATGTTTACATCAGCAGAATTAATAATTCGATTAATTGAGCCCTCGAAATAAAGCGAAGCTTTCAATTTCATCAAAATCGAGCTATCGGCGCAACAATTATCTTTAATCGATAAAACTGCCTCGATTATGACAAATGCGTTTGTTTTTTTTAATCAAATGGGTGTGAAATTATGCGAATCAAAAGTTATTTTTTATTAATTTGGATTAGTTAAATAAGTCAGAATGAGAATGTAAGGCTATATGTGCACGTTAGTGGATTTTCCGCATGAAAATTTGTGCTTTTAAAGAAATTAACGTTGGAAACAATCTAATTTCAAAATTACAAGCAGCTATTGCTACTGTCTTGGATACAAAAATCGGCAGCGGTGCAGTTGGACACACGCGCACAACTAATGATTAACATCATTGAATTGATCCGCAGAGAGTGCTTCTGTTTTATTTCCAAATTGGACTGAATGACTGCACATCCAATGGTATTGGTTCGTGTGATTGCCAACCCCTCGCCGCCACACACTCTAATACAGTATTTCATAACGCGCGTCATACCCTGCACCGCCCAAAAGGCACAGACGTTGAACTCTTTCGCTTTTCGTCAATTCGATAGCGTCGGCCATCCAGCGCCACAATGGCCGACCGATTTTATTCTATTGTTTGTAGACTGAACTTTGTTTACATTTCCCTAACTAAAAATAGTTTCCTTTTCTAAACATTCATGTCGTTGGCGTAAGCATTAGTAGTGGGTACAAAGAGAAAGTCAAAATTGAATAAAAGGAGCAAGAACAAATAAATTAGAGGCAAGTGAGCCATCTGTGTTCTGGATGAATAAGTATTACAAATTTGAAATCGATGTTTTACATATGCATGTATATATGAAACAATTTGTTAGCTACGATTTTCCGAAAACTGGAATTGTGTAAGAGTCCTCGGTATTTGTGGTTACGAAGATCGTTCCGATATCGATTCCTATTAACTTTTGCCACAGTTAATGTGGGAGAATGGACACATTCACTTCATTGCACCTAAACTTGGCACTCGGCGATAAATAAAGGCGAATAAGGTTAACTCTTTGAGCATTCAATCAATGAACCAGTTACAATCCGCTCGATTATTATAAGAACATTTTACGTCTTAGGGTTCATAAGAGTCGTCTCCTCGAAGAATATTTGACAGAGAGATGAAGGTTGAGATGCACGTAGGAGGCCATACGATTTTTTGACTAGTTTCCAGCTGAGAAAAATCATTGGCCGGTCATATTTTAAATTTCGAAAATGAACATTTCCTTAATCTTCGGATAATTTATCCAATGAAGCAAGAAAGCTTTTACACTTGCACTCAAAGTGCCCCATTTGTGCTCATTTACCAAGATGCTTGGCTACTTAGCTGCACTTTACCTTTTTATTAGCCCTATTTTTATATTTCATTTTCATAAACCATGAACGCCTCCGAACTATTCGGGAGCCACAAGCATTCACCAGTACATAAAACTAAAAACAAAAACGGGAAATACTAAAGCACTAAAATAGAGACCCATATAGGAAAATTTTGAATGAAAACAACTCTCTCTGGCTTCACTGATTACGAAATCATTCTCTTTAGGACTTGTAGAGGTTACTGAAGTGAGAGTGCTGCACTCAACACCACTCTTTCTAATCTAGGGTCTGGAAATGTCAGCTTTGTGTGAATTTTCTTCTAATAAGACCCTTGAACGTTTGAGTCCTTTGGACTAATCCGAAAAGTAATAAGCTCATAGTTGCAGAGTATTGGACTACTCCTGGTATTAACGAAAGAGCTCATCGAAAGCTGAAAATCCAACACTTTCTTCTTTCCTTGAATCTCTTTGGGTTATGAAATCGTATATTTATTACAGTATTTTCATCATCTTAGCCTTTGCAGACATTTTTTCTTTATTTTCTCCATTTCTTAGTTTCTTTCCTGTTGGGTATTAAGCTATATGTTCCCCCTTAAAAAACGCAATGATCGGTAATAGCTCCAGCGCTCTTGGGTCTCTCCAGTCATGCTATTTTCATCCTTCAGCCGACATCCCTCTTTCGATCAATTTATTTACACATATTTTGGTTTCTATTTCCTAAACGAACACATGTATTGGTTTTGCTCTCTCTCTCTCCCCGCCGCGAGACAAACGCGAGCGATCCACTGGTTTATATTTCTTTTTTTAGCGCCCACACCCCAATCTCTATGCGCTATCAGCATCTCTTTCGCGCTGCTCACTTTCTATTGGCCAATTGCCTCTAGAAATATTGTATTGTCTTAAGAAACGACGGCGATGACGACGACATCATTGTAAAAGATTCAACACTGAAAACGGTGCGTATTTTGAAAAACCGAAAACGTTTGCGGTGGATATTTCGAAATATTTTGGAATGTGGGTGCAGTGCGTCGCGGCGCGTTCAAGTGTGCACAACACATTCGCCTAGGTACGCGGCTAGAAATTTAATGTAGTCAGAAAACAGTTTTTGAGTTTTTCAAAATGTGAGTTTTAAGTGAAGATGAATTTTTCAAAAACCTCAACCGCGTTGCTGTGAGTCAGTAGGAAAAAAAGATCTGAAAGATTAGCAAACAACGGGTGGTTTTTACGATCCGCTGGCGTACGCACGGTGGCAGCAGCACCAAGCATGATCAGCCGTAAAAGCAGCATTGATTCAAAATTGTGTTCGAGAACACACACGCACACATTTACATGGAGCTATCTGTGTCTATTTAAAAATTGTCCTCTGTCGTCCAAAAAGCAATCGGCGACAAAGAGACCACTCTGCAGAAATTCTGAAACTGAAATTCACGTCAATATTTCTAAAAATATGCTTTTTTAAATTATTATTTATATATCTATCCCTAGGTTCGTTTGCGGGTTTTCGACTTTCGTTTTCTATGTTTTTCTTTGCTTTTTTTACCTCGCCGTTTGTTCAGTGTCGCGTAAGTTTTTTTTTTTTTGATTTCTAATGTTTTTATTTTGGTGGAGAAGAAATATTGAGTTCGTAAAAAGGTGAGTGAGTGCAGACGTATTTATGAGATTCCATTAAAAACTGTGTAGATATGTATTTGTATGTTATAATAAGTGTGTCTAGATTTTGGGGAATTATTTTAGTTACATGCCGGTGCGGTAGTGGGATTTTGAACTGGAAGCTGAAAGTTAATTAAGATTGCCAAATAAAATTTCAATA